TGAAATGAAAACAATTTATGAGAACCCAGATAAGTTTGACTTCTATACATGGCATCAAAGGGAAAAGAATTATTTCGAAGATACTTTATGTGGTTACACTGATTACTATCGAAGAGTACATCATATTTTTATTGCGATAATATATCATTTGAACAGAGAAAACAAATTACATTATGAATATTTAGAAGAAACATCAGAGTTTTTAAATCACATGATAGTCCAAAATTCTTTGTAAATAGTCCACCAATGATAATTTAATAATAAAATTAAATTATCTTTGAAACCACCCTACCCCATACTATTCTACATAAACTGAACAAGGATGGCTTTGCCCAGTTTGAGAGTTGCATCACCTGATAAATAGGATGAGATAGAGTATTTTACAGATAATGAGCTAGTAATTATGATTTATTAGGCTATAGATGTTCACGGTGATGTAACTACCCCAACTGGGCAAGGCCTTCCCTGACTAGAGCTCCCTTAAGGATTGCGTGCTCAGGCTCTCGGAGAGACTCCCAAGCCTGTGTCCTGGTGTGCATGGGGTCCAGAATCTTAAGACCCCCACACCTTCACAAACTGCATCTAGCGGCGCCTTTGCTGTGCCTTGCAGGCTGCGACTGCCTCCAGGGCTTCCAGCTCTGCCACTCGCTCGGTGGCGGAACCGGTGCCGGCATGGGAACTCTGCTGATCTCCAAGGCGGGAGCTATGCAGTCCTCATAGTTTGTAGAACTTTTTCTTAGGCATCCCAAGAGGCCCCCAGCTCCCTCAGATCCCGTACAGCTCGACTCCTGCTTGCGATGTCCGAATGCCCTCGAGGTGAGAGAGGAGTTCCATGGATGGCACTTGAGGGGCCTTGAGTTAGGGGCTGAAGATCATTGCTGTCCTGAGCCTGAGCTTTGGTTAAGCTGCGGATCTCTAGGCACCCGAAAGGGCTTGCGGCTCGTTTCAGATTGCATTCAGGGGGCAGCAGAGACATGCATCCAAGGTACCCGGACCGCATCATGGAGACCTTCTCGGTCATCCCGTCACCCAAGGTCTCTGACACGGTGGTGGAGCCGTACAATGCAGTCCTGAGCTTTCACCAGCTCGTGGAGAACTCCGACGAGTCCTTCCTGCTGGCTACTTGGCAAAGTGAGGTACGTCGTCTGCAAGCATGCCCCACCAAGTCGCCAATGACGCTTGGAACTCTTGCAGCAGCAACCGTCCCCTCTCACACCTGCGAAATCCGGCGCAAGTTCTAATCGAGGACAACGAGGCTCTCTACGATATCTGCTTTCGCACGCTGTGACCTGGCATGAACGTGGCAGGGAAGAAGCAGAGTTCAGTTCCAAACCCTCCGGGCCTTGCTACCCGCATCTGCTGCCGCCCAGCCACAGAACCCTCTAGAATGACTCAAAGACCCAAGCCTTTCCGACCCGCATAAACCTTACTTCAATGCACAATCTTTTTGGACCTGACGATGACGTTCTGGGCCTTTGCGCAAGCCCTTAGGCAGGTACGCCACTGGACGAAGCAAACTCCTGACATGTCCTAGTGTTGGTGTGGCCTCAGGATGTGGCACAAGAGAGGTCCACATTGGCATTCACTTTATCCAGCCTTCGGTGGCTTTACATCATGCACATAGTATTCTTTCTCAAAGCCTACGAGCATATGACATAGTAGGAATAGTAGGATGGAGTGGAGATGGAGTGGATGTGACAGCGGACCTCACACGAACCTGTGGAGTGTTCACCAAGGAAGCTGACGACGCCAACATATGGCGATTTGAACCACTTGGTCTCTGCGGCCATGAGCGGCGTCACATGCTGCCTGCGCTTCCCGGGACAGTGGCTGGACTCTCTAATGCTCCCACGGTACTTTCTGAGGATTCCTTCGTGAGCATTTGTTATGCTGTTGGCCTGTCACCTTGACTTCCGTTTGGCACTGAGGCTTAACTGTGACCTGCGCAAGATTGCTGTGAACCTGGTGCCTTTCCCACGTGGCCTTGAACGCAAAGTTATTGGAACCACACTTTGCTGTGCTTCTGATGCAAGCCCCGCGTTGCTTAACAAACTTGTCGCAACTCTTCCGCTTTCCTGACTTCAGCCCCGATCGCCTTCACCTCTAACCCAATCCTGAAGTGTCCAACCGAGCCTCAAGGCTTTTTGACATGGCCGGACTTGTGAGCCGTTGTTTCTTGCGATGCCTCGGCCTCGGCTACAGGTCTGCACTTCTTCATGACGGGCTTCGCGCCGCTGACCTCCCGCGGGTCGCAGCAGTACCGAGCCCTGACCGTCCCCCGACTCATTTGATTCCGATGTGGATGCAAGGGGACGTGTTGCAAAATGACGTTTTGCAAAGCAACTCGTCCCGAGCTTTGTAGCGGCAGGTGCCCGAGCTGACCCAGCAAATGTTCGACGCCAAGAACATGCTTCTCGGCTCAACATCTCCTAACAGCAGCCTGACAGCTTCAGTTCCTTGAGATCGTGATCTGTCGGACGTCCCAGGATGTGCGCTGCGGACCCCCGCCACGGCCGCTACCTCACCGCGGCAGCCCTCTTCCGTGGCCGCATGTCCACGAAGGAGGCCCGCAAGATAGCTTGGCTTTGAAAAAAGTGCTCTTGCACGGAATTCTGTCCATGCTTCGGCTGCGGCCGTTTTGATGTGTCCAGCATTGTCCAGCGTTCAAGCTGGTTTAGGGTTGCAGCGATTGCAGAGACTGTCACAGACTCACGAAGTTGTTCATCCGGCAGGTGGATGAGCAAATGCTCAACGTCCAAAACAAGAATTCCTCCTACTTCGTGGAATCTTGGCCATCCCAGGTTCCCAGACAGGGAGGCGGGACTTGGCGTTTCGGCATGGCATGTAATGTGGCTGGGATTTTTGGATGTGCCGAACTTGTCGTCGTTGTTTGCTTCCAACGACTATACAGACTATACACGACCCAACCAACCCACAGTCAGTGTAGTTTGCATCTGTACAACGGCTGCCGAGGAGTGGATCCCCAACAACATCAAGGCGTCCGTTTGCGATATCCCTCCGAAAGGTGACCTGGCAGCCATTGGGCATTGAGTCGTTGCGATGACGAACAGGTGCTGGCGACAATTAGATCGATACTTGCGCATTTTCAAGTCACAGCAGCGATCCTTCGAAAGTCAGGTCGACTGCATATTCATGTGAAGTTCGGAAGTTCGGACTTGGTGCCATGCGCCTTTGCTTCTCTTGAGTTGATTGGCCCAAGACTGGCAAGCTTGAACCATCAGCTTTTGTCGGAGCTCTCGCACCCGCTAGTCTCTGAATCTATCTCTATGGCATCGAAAAGGTGCATGAACGGTATCTCCGAAAACACCATCTCACTTCGCCATCATACAACGGATGGGAACCGTAGCAACCCCTGCGCTATTTGAGATTCGGTTCTTGTCAACACGATTTTCAACTGTGGTTCTGCATACTCACAGGACATCGCCAGCTTATCGTAGAATCTATGTAGGTGGACTTTTTCCGGCTGCAAGGAGGAGTATGCGTCCAAAGGTGTGCTTGATTCGACACTGGTATAGTCGGCATAGAAAAGAGCTTCATAAGGCGCCTGTGCTGGGTGGCTGCGTTTTCAAGAACTTGCTAAGACAGCTTCTTTTCCTGACCTTTGTGTTTCTGGCAGCATGGGGCGGTTCACGGGCTGGGAGTCAGGGCAAGAGCGTGTTTGCTGTGTTTCATCAATGGAATCAGCTGCAGGTCTCAAGATGGCCGTCGCTTTCGCGGGAAACTCGACCGCCATCCAGGAGATGTTCAAGAGGCACCTTGAGCCATGCGTGCCCCACGGAATTCGGCAATCCGGTGCAACAGGGGGAGGAAAGCATAGTAAGCCTAGCCTTCGTCTTGTTTCTTTCACAGGTCGGACCTAACATGGCATCGTGTGTCCAGCTGAGCTTTACGATACCTGCTCTTTGTGTGTTTCGGACCTCCCGGCCAGGGTGGCCGAGTACTTCACGGCCATGTTCCGGCGCAAGGCCTTCTTGCACTGGTACACTGGCGAAGGCTCACTCGGATGAGGGTCAGAGAAACACGGCACGGTGCAAGCAAATCCCAGACCACGAGAGGTGAGGCGAGTGGAGGTCGAGCAAGCAAAGATGTCAATGCAGATGTGACCCAAGGAACATCTGCGCTTCCCTCAAGCGATTGCTCACGAGCATGTAACGTGTTTTTTCAGAGCCATTGAGACATCAAGCTTGCCGCTTGGAAACAGAGCTTTGAGGATAGCTACAATCGCAGCGCATTGAAATCACCTTGGTTCCTCCTCATCTGAAGCCCTACACATGTTGATCCTGCAGTGCCGAACCTTAGCCTTCGGCAGGCATGGACGAGATGGAGTTCACTGAGGCGGAGTCGAACATGAACGACCTGGTGTCGGAGTATCAGCAGTACCAGGCGCAGCTTTAATATAGGGGCCTTAATAATTAGAATAGGGTTTTGCGGTATACTATACTAGAACAATAATAATGAACCCCCAGAATAGTATGGGTAATCATTATCATTAATTTAATAGACTATGAAGGCCCCTAATAGTAAACGACAAACCACACCCGACTGCTTTCACTCTCGGGTCCTTGGCCCGGCCCCATGTGTCTCTGGTCAGGATGCCACCGCCGAGGAAGAAGGTGGGCGATAGCACTTCTCGGAAGTAAGCTTGCTTCGGACATCAGGGGGTAAGGGAGCAGGGTCAGAAACTTTCCGGCTTAGGAGGTTGCTCGGATTGCCCGTAGTTTTCGTGGCTGCAAAGTTGCCTTGGATCTCGCAGGCGAGTTTGACGAGGAGGAGGGCGAGTATGACGGATAAGCACCAACTGTCATAGACCCATTCTCGTTTCGGACTGTTCAGACTCATGGTGACCCTGGCTGCGCCCGGCATCGCAAAGTAACAATCGCAGTTCGGGGGCAAGAGTGGAAAAGGAAGGACTAGTGGTGGCGCGTTCATCTTCAATTTTTCCTCGAACCAAGGGCAGCGCACGATGATGTGCAACAAGGGTACTCGTAGTAGCAGTACTAAAAAGCAATGTAGCAGGATAGTACAAGATAATACAGGGTGGCATGCCAGATGACAGTTCTTGCCAGCTTAGAAAGCTGTTTTCTTATGGACTTATCAGTATCATAGCCCCAATTAGGATCCCTTTTTAGGGTACTTGTAACCCGACTTGCTACCTACTTACTAAGTCCCAAAGGAGCTTGCCCTGACCCGGTGGCCTTGCGGGGCCTGGGTTGATGCCTTAGTCGCAGCACGACAGAGACACTGCCCCCCGGTACACTTGTCGTGTTATCAACAATGCTATGTAACAGTTCCAGCGGAAGTTTACTTCGAATCGAATCAGTTCTTATGATTAGCATGAATTTTCTTGTTATTGTTACTATTCTTTATTTTCATTCTCATCATGACTACTATTATTAATACTGTTATTTTCACAAGTGTTACTATTGTTTTTCTTTTATTATCATTATTGTCATTTTTAACTATGATAGTGAATATAATGATTATTGTGGTTGTTGTTATTGTTAGTGTTGCTCTTGTTGTTCCTGTTAGTGTTACCGTTGGTGCTACTGTTATTCTAACTATTATTGATATAATTATGTTTATTGTTTATCATTCTTCTTATTCATATGCTTCTTCTCCTTATTATTGATGTTATTATTAGTTTTCACGATATTCTTCTTATCAGTGTTGACATTCTTCTTCTTATTATTGTTCATATTCTTATTTTTAATATTATTTTGATTTTCACTCTTATTCTTGTTGCCATCATTTATCTTACTCTTATTCCTGTTCTTCTTCTTATTCTTATTATTGCTATTCTGCCTATTCTTGTTTTAAAATTAACCTATTCTTGCTATTCGTCTTCTTCTCATCTTTAAACTCCTCTTCTCATCATCATTAGTATTGTTCTTATTTTTGAATGAAGTCTGATTATCGCTGATGGTCCTTCTTCTTCACCCTCTTGCTGTTTCTAACTATCACCAGTCTCATGTCATGTCTGGCCTCAGCGCCTCCGAGGGTCTCAAGCGACTTCCTTGCTGTGCTCATCGCCTTCCACTTCTCGCAGCCATGCGTGAGCTCGTGCACGTCCAGGGTGGCCAGTGCACCTCGGCAAGAATCAACGTCAAGAGGCGTTAGAACGTCGTAGCTGTTCGTACTTCATTAGAGCCGTAGCTGGAGTTTGGGGTTTGCAGTGTGGGATCCGCCCCGCTTTGGTCATGTTGCCACGGGAGCATCGGGCTCAACATTAGATCCTGCCTTGTTTAATGGGGCTTTGCAGGCAGGTTCGTTCTTGGGTGGCACGAGTGTGCAGGCGGCAACCAGATCGGTGCCAAGTTCTGGGAGGCACACACTCACGCTGGAAAAGCGCTTTGCCGCATTGACCTAAGGCCTAGAGGGAGGAAGAATCCCTTGTTGGAGGTGTGAGGAGTCATGTTCTCATCACCGGATAGAAGCCGCTTGCGGTTTGTCGAGAATTGTTCGGTTTGGGATTGATGAGAAGTTACTTGTTCTAGTTCTCTTTGTTGGGATGTCTGAGCAGGTGATCGCCGATGAGCACGGAATCGATCCCACAGGAGCAGCCAGCATCCCTGCACAAGTCCCTGAACCAACTGCTCTGCGAACTCTAACCGTATCAGAACCGAAGCATGAAGACTTGGAGCATCGGTGAGGTCAGCTGTTTGAGTGGACACGTGCTGTGTGGGTTCCAAATCCAAGTGCTAAGCTTCTAAGATCTGGGGTCAAGTCGCAGCAAGGAAGTATCAAAAAACATCCTCGGGTCGAATCCCTTGTAGAGGCTTGGAGGACTGCAATCATGAGTTTGCAGGAACCTACCATGGCGATTCCGATCTGCAGCTGGAACGCATCAATGTGCCCGCGCTCGCATGGATGTGTGAGCGTGTGTGTGTGTGTGTGTGTGATGCTTCAGTACACTCTTTTTGTATTCTGGGTGACTGTGACTGACAGCAGCGCGGGACATGGGGGATCGGGCCGACCGGACAGCTCAGGTGTACTTCAACGAGGCGACAGGGGGACGCTACGTTCCGCGTGCGGTCCTGATGGATCTTGAGCCAGGCCCATGCATGCATGAAACTCGGTTTTGCGATTGAGGGTTCAATGACGCCGGTCTTCAGGCTGCATTGCTCATACGTGCGAGGAACGATGGACTCCGTGCGAGCCGGGCCTTTTGGTCAGCTCTTCCGTCCCGACAACTTCGTCTTTGGACAGACAGGACAGAGCTGTCCACTGCAGCAAGCATCAAGGGGAAAGCAACATGTCGTGCGCGATCTGACGACAGTCGCGTGTTTTCTCAGGAGCTGGCAACAACTGGGCCAAGGGTTGGACGCCCGGTCATGGTTGTGGCTGGCCGTGGCTGGTGCTGTCAGCTTTGTCACGTTGTCAATGCGTACGCGCATTTTCTGGTTGAGGTCACTACACTGAGGCCGTGAGCTGAGTCTTCCGTCCTCTCGGCGAAAGCACCAGCGCCCGATGATGTTCAAAAATCCAAATGCGATTGCACCGAGGGTGCCGAACTCATTGACTCGGTGCTCGATGTCGTGCGCAAGGAGGCTGAAGGCAAAGCCAGGGGAAGACCTGACATCTCTGTTGATTTCTGACCACTTGCTGTTGACAGTCGCTCTGTGTGGTACTAGCTGCTGATTCGTCAACCAGTATGGATCGAGAGGCTTCGGGTCCGAGCAGCCTTAGTGTCTCGGAGCGGATCCTTGTTGGGCTGGATTCATGATCATGTGGGGTGATCGTACTATCATGGCCTCCAACCCCAAATTTCCACTGCGCATGAACATTGGGCGTCCCATGCAGGCTGTGACTGCCTCCAGGGCTTCCAGCTCTGCCACTCGCTCGGTGGCGGGACCGGTGCCGGCATGGGAACTCTTCTCATCTCCAAGGTGGGAGCTTGGAAATAAGGATTGTGGGTACAGGCAGTGTCGACGAAGCATTGTAGGTCAACAGTCATCATCAGAAATATCCTGCTGCTAACTGCAGAAAAACCGACCCAGCACGACCCTTCAGGTGCGAGAGGAGCACCCCGG